GGGAGGGTTTCCCCCTGCCGTGCCAAGGGAGATTCCCCATGCCAGAGCCAGCCCTGGGGCTCAGGTGTTACCCCAAGGCAGCCTACACAGAGAGATCACAGCATCAGAATCCCTGAGTGGTTTGTGTTGGGAGAGATATTGAAGCTCATCTCACTCCAATCCACCTTCCACCAGCCCAGCTTCCTCCAATCCCCATCCCGCCTGGCCTTGGACATTTTCAGGGATGGAGAGCCCACAATCTCTAGGTCAGCACAGAGCATTGGCATGGGGTTTGCTTGGCCAAGCCGGCATCTCCCCACTCAGAGCCCCTGGGTGTGCATGCTCAGCCTGCTGAGCTGCTGATCCTGATGCAGGGAAGAAATCTCAGGTGTTTCCAAACCCCAGCTGCTCTGCACAACCCCAGGTGTGGGGACGAGTCATTGCTGAAGGAGATTAAAGCACAGGCAGCGAGCATGGAACATGAGTGTTGCCTCCTTCCCCTTGGCCTCTGAACTCTGTTTTTCCCCTTTGTGGACAGATCTCAGCTGAGCTCCAAGCCAAGCAGAATTTTCCCATTGCAGGTGGAGCAGGGGGCTCAGGCAGAGCTCCTGCATCTCCTGCACCACCACCCAGTGACCTGCAGGCCCCTGTCCTGCTCTTTTGCCTCTGAGATCTACAGAAAACACCCAGATCACTGTTCCCACAGTTGGTGTGCTCACATTTGCCTGGGTTGGATGCTGTCCATCCAAAGTGGTGAGTCTGGGGATCCTGCAGCTGTGGGGAGGTGGCTCAGCCTCTTCAACAGGTTTGGGCACACTGGGGGAAAGTGACAAAAATTAAAACAACTACATCAACAAGGGACAGGCAATGGTGAAGAGCTGTTGGTCACATGCAGGGCGAAATGAGGGGAGATGCAGCTGTGGGGGCTGCACAGCCCCATCTGAAACAGCTCTGGGAAGTGTGGAAGTGTGGTCTCAAAGCATGGTCTCAAAGCCTGTCTTCCCTTGTACTGGTGAAAGTTAAGTGTCTGCTTTCTGGAGGCCTTTCAGAGCCTGCCAGCTCAGCTGCCATGTGTCCTCCAAATGCAGGGCAGGATGCTCAGCTTCCTCCTGGCTGCCTGGACGGGCGCATGGGCTGCAAGCCATGGCCAAAGCAGGCTGGGGGCTCCAAGCTCCTTCCTTCCCCGGGGCTGGCAGTGGGTGTGGGGCCAGGGAGGGCTCTGGGACACGATGCTGGTGGCTGGCAGGGATTGCTCCCAAAGGCAGCTCCATGCTGGGAAGCTGGCAGCAGGACTTGCTGCGTTGGGGCGGCTTTGTGCTTTTTTTTTTGTTTTGGTGGTTTTCCTAAAAACGGTGCCTTTTGCAATCCTCCCAGTCTTTCATAAAACTTTTCCTGGCAGAACCTCTCCAAAACTTCTGGGAATTCAGCTTTTGAAAGGCGTTGGGGTTAAAGACATTTGCGCTTCTGTACGACGCTGACAGGTTTCCTGGGGTGGGGATCTCCTGCCGGAACTGTTCTGTGGTGCTGGGTTGGACTCAGGGAGCTCAGGTTGCTCCAGGGAAGATTTCCAGCCTGGGAGAAAGGGCAGAGGTGACAAGAGAGGAGCCCTGGAAGTGGCTGAGTATGGAGGCCTCATCCCACCATGCTGGGGAAGGTGTTCCAGTTGTTGAGGCCAAAGTGTGGTTTGGGGAACTGCGATCTGGGATGTCACTCTGAGAACAATTCCCCTCATCCCCTTCATAACCAATCCCAAAGGGCTGATGTCCACCTCATCCCACCATCCTGGGGAAGGTGTTCCAGTTGTTGAAGCCATAGTGTGGTTTGGGGAACTGTGATCTGGGATGTCACCCTGAGAACAATTCCCCCCATGCCCTTCATAAGTGATCCCAAAGGGCTGATGTCCACCACATCACACCATCACTAGCTAGGGAAGGTGTTGCTGTTGTTGAAGCCAAACTGTGGTTTGTAGAACTGCAATCTGGGATGTCACTGTGAGAACAATTCCCCCCATTCCCTTCACAACTGATCCCAAAGGGCTGGTGTTCCCCTCATCCCACCATGCTGGGGAAGGTGTTCCAGTTGTTGAACCCAGTGTGGTTTGGGGAACTGTGATCTAGGATGTCACTCTGAGAACAATTCCTTCCATCCTGTTCATAAGTGATCCCAAAGGGCTGATGTCCACCCTGTTGCTTACACAGGTGAGACCAGCTCCACGTGCTCATCACTGACCTCCAGCTCTCTCCCCGTGGATGTGAGTGTGGCAGGCTCTGCTGGCCCTGCTGGTGCAGACAAAATTTGGGGACACCATGGGATGGACATTTGTCCATCAGTTACTTATGGGGTCCCTCAAAGCTCTGCCCTTGCTGATGCCTGCGCTGCGTTTCAGAGGAAAAATACTTGACGGACTTAGAGGTCTTTTCCAACCTAAAGGATCCTCTGATTGTATACAGATGTGAGGAATAAAGACTGAAATGAATAAGGCATGAAGCCCTGAAACACGGCTTTGTGTCTGCAAATAATAAGGAATGAGTTACAGCCTTGGAAGGGCAGGAACGTTCCCCCGTGTGCAGGGTCCAGCCGGCCCCTGGCGTCAGCGAGGTGCCCTCCTCGCACTGTCCCCTGCAGGAAAGCTCTGCTCCCAGTGGATTGCCTGCAGATGGCTTTCTCAACCTTTCCTAGCCCAGGGAGGGCCAAACCTTTCTGGTGAAAACCCAAGGATCATTTTGTTCTGTGGAGCCACCACATGGTTTCATTTACGCCCCATGCGAGTTAGGCAAACGTCTCGCTGTTTGTCTCTTTTATTTCATCCCCTCGTGCTTGTTGCTGCACACAGGAATGTGTGCCTGTGTGCTTAGGAGATATTTTGCAGACCACTTCCTACTGTCCTGGGGACACGGAGCAGGTCCTGGACCCAATGTGACAGCGGGGAGCGATGTGTCCCTGTCCTTACTTCACATCACAGCTCAGCTCCCCAGGCAGGAGCAGAGCACCAGGCCCTGGCCAAGCCACTCCACCATCTCCTGCCACGCCAGCATCCAGCCCAGAGAGGGGCAAAACCCTCCAGGACCTTCAATGTCCCTGTCCTCACCTGGAGAATGTTCATTAACGTGGCTGAACAGCAGCCTGAGCCCGCCACGTCCTCTGTGCTCATCACTGGGGGGCTTCAGTCCCTCCACCTCTGGCCTGGAAGCCCACAGGTCTCCCTGTGTCTCACAGCGTGTCCTCGGCTCTGAGGATGTCCCCACTGACTGGTTTTTTTGGCCAAGAAAGCATTTAAAGGTAGCTGCATCCCCTTTGGAAAACAAATGGACCCGGAATCTCCGCCAGGACTTTCCCTCCCTCCCTGGACCCTTGCAGAGCCTCAGCAGGAGCCTTCCCCAAATCCATCCCTTGCTCAGGGCAGTTCTGCCAGCTCCCAAAGCCACGCTTAACTTGACACATGTGTGCAGCCCTGGGGAATGTGGTGGCTCTGATTCTTGTTTGTGATGCCTTCCCCGGCTCCAACCTGACAGGAGCCTCCCCTCCAGTGCCCACCTCTCTGCCAAACATGCCTGGAACACCAAGAACACCAATTTCCATCCTGGAGATGGCCTGGGGCTCCATTGGGGTGACTGCTCCCAGTCCCAGCCCTGGTGGGCGCCCTCAGGGCCGTGAGGAGTATCAGGAGGGACTGTGCCTGTCAGGAGAGATGGGGTGGTTTGTCCTCCTGCATGCCTTGTGTTCACCTCCAGCAGCTGCCATTCAGGGCCCCCAGCTGCCATTTGGAATTCTCAGGGGCCATTTGGAACTCCCAGGTGCCATTCAGGACCCCCAGGTTTGGTTATGGCTGTGCCACTGGACACCATCCCTAGCATGAGGATGAGGATGAGGAGAGAGCAGTGTTTCATCTCTTGCAGAGACGTCAAGCTCTGTTTAAGCACGATCCAGGTAGAATCCTAATTTGGAGGATCCCTAAGGGAGGCTGTTGGGAGGGGGGGCTCCATGCAGCCCTGCTGGGGCTGTTGGACAGACACACAGCCATCTCCAGCTCTGAGACAGAGGCACCAATGTTCTGCTGTCTTGCCCTTCGTGGGGCTCAGCACAGATCCTGTTGGGCGGTGGGACCAAGGTGTGGGCATGGTGCTGCGCTCCTTAGGCTGCACCCTCACTCCCAGCACTCTGGGGTGGGGACAGACTGACAGCAAACACGGCTGTGGGTTCAGCTCTGGCTCCTCCTCGCTGACAAAACCCCCAGTTTGCGACACAGTTTTTGGCGTTTGGTCCTCGCCAAAAATCCGCTTTCCATTGCGGCGCTCGCCTCGCAGGGAGGCCGTGGGGATGGAGGGGGGTGGGAGCCTGTTTCAATTGTTTGGGGAGTGGAAGAGGCTGATTCTGTGGCTGGTGGAGCCCAGCAGAGCTCTCGCTGTGAGCAGGGAGCTTTCCCACTGCTGGTGCTTCCCTTGCAGCAGCAGAACCTGCAGGGTTTCTGAATTGGTGACACTTTGGTGGCAGGGGATGGAGCCTTGCCTGGGGCATGGGATGTGCATCACCTGCCTGGGACAATTCTGAGGGAACAATACACAGTTTTTGGGATCTGGCCATTGGTCTCTCATCCAATACAAGCTGTAACCCAATGCATTTAGGTGCAGGAGGGTTCCCACCCGGCTCTCTCCAGGCAGGGGTGCATCTCTCACCTACTCCCATGTGAGCCAAGAAAAATGAATCACCAAAAATGAAAGGAAGCAAAGAAAGCAAGCAAAAAAAAAAAAAAAAAGGAAAAAAAAAAGATTAAAAAATCCCTCCCCAAAGCCGCCTTCCAGAGGGTTGGGCAAAAGATAAAAGCTCTCGGAGGAGCCGGGACTCCTCCTCTCCCACCACCGACCTCTCATTTAAATGTCTGTGTGCAGGCTGCAGCCGGCAGTGCCGGGCCGGCCGTGCCCCGGGGGCGATGCCCGGGCCGGGCACGGGCACCGAGCGGGGCTGCAGGTGACACCGGGGGTGACACCGGGGCGACACGGGGGTGCCAGGACAGGTCCCGGTGCATGGACACCCCCGGGCAGGCCCCGATGGCGGCGCCGCTGCTGCTCTGGGTGGTTCTGCTGCGCTGGGCCAGCGGCGGCGGCTTCACCCGGGCGGGCAGGACCTGGCAGCACTGCACAGGTAGGAGCCGGGGCCGGGGGTGCTGCACCGGGGACAGGTGGGCTCACCTGCCGGGACAGGGCTGCTCCCAGGGCTGGGATGCTCTGATTTAGGGGGCAAAGCCCACGAAGTGTGCTCTGTTCTGGGGAGCAAATCACAGAAGGTGTGCTCTGTTTTGGGGGCGAAAGCCCAGGAGGTGAGCTCTGTTTTGGGGGGGGCAAAGTCCAGAAGGTGAGCTCTGATTTGGGGGGCAAAGCCCAGGAGGTGAGCTCTCATTTGGGGGAGCAACGCCCAGGACGTGAGCTCTGATTTGGGTCAGCCTCTCCTGGCATCCCAGCCCCGCTGTTTCGGTGCTCAGTGCCCGCTCAACGCCCCGAGTGACCGAGGTGCCTCAGGGGCTGCATGGCAGCACCATGGATGGTGGCAGGCTGTGGGGTCATTGCTGTGCTTGCAGCCCCCACAGTGCCACCAGGGGAGCACCCAGCCCTCTGGGACCTGTGGGAGAGCTGTGCCCGTCCCTGCTGCACAGGCGTTGTCGCAGGTTCTGCTGGAGGCAGAGGGGAGGGGAAGGACTGGAAAAAGCCATGAAGTCCCCTGGAAAATCCCTCCTGCCCGGATTTTCTGTGCTCTGACAGGCACAATCCCCACCCTCCCGTCCCGCTGTCCCCGGTGTCATTCCCGAGCCCAGGAGGGTCCCGGTGCCCCGGCTCTGCCATCCCCTGTGCTGGGTGGGCAGAGCTCACTGAGCTCCGTTTTTGGGGCTGCTTAGGGCTTGTCCCAGTTTGATGGCAATTGTATTTGCTTTTTGTTCCAGCCCAGGTGATGTGAGAAGAAAAACAGGGAGAGATTGGAGAGTTTCTGCCTCTTCCCCGAGGGGTTCCAGTCTCTCTGGGAATGTCCCTGCTGTCCCCAAGCAGCCTTGGCTGGGGGATCCTGGGGGTGCCGAGGCCCCAGCATCATCCTGGGGACCCCAGCACGAGGCCCCCTGAACCACCTGTGCTGCCCAAGCTGGGCTGGAGCCCCCCAGCTGCCCTGCCAGCCTTAGCAGTGATGGATGTGGGGGGCAGCCCTTTGGGTTTAGGGGTTTGGGTTTGGTCCCTTCCTGGCCCACAGCCTCCAGCCCCAGCTGAGCTCTCCCCCAGCTCATCCTCAGCGTCTCAGGGGCAGCTGGGGGCTCCTAAACCCCTCTGCAAATCCAAGCCTGAGTTCAGCTTGTACTTTTTGCTGGGAAAAACAGGAACTGGCTGCTGCCTGAGTGATGCATTTCTGAAATAAGCTGTTCCAGTCAAACCCCCCCTCCCACCAGGACTTTGCTTAACCCAGCAGTGGGGTGGGCAGGGGGCACACAGAGCTGCCAGCGTAAGGAGGACCTCACCCATGTCCCTGCTCTGCTCTGCATGGAGTCACACGAGCAGATTCCTCCTGGCTCTGCCCACCTGGAACGGGGCTGGTGTTGGATGAAGCGCTTCCCTTCTGCAGCTGGTTTGGATTCACACACACAGCCCAGCCTTGCTCGCAGCTCCCTCCTTCCCAGCCCTCCTGCTGTGCCCCAGCAGCCCGGATTTATTAGTACAAATTGGAACTAAAAGCCAGGTCTCAGCGGGGTGGGACCGAATCGGGGATGGTTAGTGCAGCCAAGAGCTGCTTCATCTCTCGGGCACCATCTCCCTGCTCTGCCAGAAAACCATTCAGAAATAAAACCAGGAGGGTCCCAGGCCAGGAGAAACCCCCGGAGCTGCTCCAGCCCTGCCTGTGCCACGATGTTGGAGCTGGCATTGCTCCATGGGGTGGCACTTTCTGGTGCTGCTGTGCTGTGTGCTCTCACCGGGGCGATGCCCTGGGGCTGGGCACGGCGTTGCCTTCTCTGGGGAGAGGGTAATTATTTATAATGAGTGGTTTTGGTGCCTGCTGGGAGAGTGCGTGTGTGCAATGAGGGCTGGGCTGGGAGAGCCCGAACGGCACCGGAGGGGTGGAGCTGTCCCCACTGCCCTGAGAGCCGGGCTGTGGCAGCCTTGGAAGCAGCTGAGCATGGAGACCTCATCCCACCATATTGAGGAAGGTGTTCCAGTTGTTGAACCCAATGTGTGGTTTAGGGAACTGCTGTCTGGGATGTCACCCTGAGAACAATTCCCTCCATTCTCTTCATAACTGATCCCAAAGGGCTGATGTCCCCCTCATCCCACCATGCTGGGGAGGGTGTTCCAGTTGTTGAACCCAGTGTGGTTTGGGGAACTGTGACCTGGGCATGTCACCCTGAGAAAAATTCCCCCCATGCCCTTCATAACTGATCCCAAAGGGTTGATGTCCACCATCCCACCATGCTGGGGAAGGTGTTCCAATTGTTGAAGCCAGTGTGGTTTGGGGAACTGCCATCTGGGATGTCACCCTGAGAACAATTCCCCCCATGCCCTTCATAAGTGATCCCAAAGGGATCAGACTGCATCCCTGCCTGCTGGGGCGGGGGGATCCCGAGGGGGTGCCTGGCTGGCCAGTCCCAGCCCCAGAGTCAGCACCCAGAGCTGCCTCAGTGAGACGGTTCTGCTCTCTCGCTGTTCCCGCTGTGGCGATGGAGATGCCAGCCCTGTGTCTGCAGGGCAAATCTCTGCTCTGGCCCTGGAGAGGGGCTCGGGGCAGACCCCAGGGAAGGACTGGCACGCTCCTGCAGCACGCCAGCTCATCCTGCTGCTCTGCCAGCACCGGGTACCCCATCCTGATGCCGGCAAGGGGGGCTATTTACAGACATGAACGAGACGGGGCTGCTGTGGAAACAGCTTCGAGCTGTTTATTTTTCAGCATCAGTCTCATTACATGATTATGATAATGGGAAGATGCTAGCAGCTCAAAATCTAGGCAGCAGGCCAAAAAACCTAATGTTACAACTTACTTTATAAGCTTCTTAACTAATCACACAAAGCAAAAGCACATTGACAGTAGTTCTATCCAATCACCATAAGCACACGTACCTTTGGTTAAACAATGCTTGCTTATTTCCAGTACAATATCTGTTTATAAGCCTTAAAACACAATGCACAGAGCTCCATTATTAAGCTTTAACCTTCTTAATATCTTGCTAGATAAACTTTCTGCAGCTTAGAAAGCTAATGAGACAAGCATTAATGCACAAGCTATTATTCTATTTGCCTTTGCTTTTTCTACAGTTTAAATAATTTTTCTGCTGACCTATCTCATGGCTGCTGCTTTAGTTCTGCCGCTATCTAAAGCCTGCCTTTTTCAGCTTTCCCAGAACCCTCTAATTTTATAAATCCCCACACATCCCACCTGGGGATAATGCCCTGGGCTGTCTCTCGGCACAGACCTGCGCCCGCTGGACGTGCTGTCGGAGGCGGTGCCGGCCGGGGCGCTGGCCCGGGGCATGCGGGTCCTGCAGGTGCAGGGGCTGCGGGGATTGCAGCTCTCGGCGTCGCGGCCCCGCGCCCTGGCCTTCCCCGCCTCGCGGCTCTTCATCCACTGCGACCGCTTCCCTGAGGAGTTCTCCATCATCGTCACCCTACGGGCGCTGCGCCGCCCCGCCAAGGTGAGCACGGGCACGGCTGGGCATGGCATGGGCACCGGGCACGGCCCCGCAGGTGCCAGCCAGTGCCCTTCTGCAGAGGAACGAGTACATCTTCACGCTGATGGTGGAGGAGAGCCCCGGCGTGCTGGTGGGGATGCGCTACGCCCCCGACAAGCTGCACTTCATGTTCTGGAGCCAGGAGCGCGCCGGGGGATGGCAGAGCCGCGTCACCTTCCCCAACGTGTCCCTCTCCGACAGCCGCTGGCACACGCTCGTCCTGGCGGTGTCCGGACAATCCTTCTCCTTGACGGTGGATTGCAGCGTGCCCAAGGATGTGTAGGTTGGGGCTCGGCAGGGCGGGCAGGGTGATGTTCTTCCACCAGTTGTGGGTTTTTCTGGGTCTGGATTGAAGACTTGAGACAGTGATTCATGTTGGGACTCAGGTGTTTATTATTTCTCATCAGTAAAACAGTCTCACTACTGTGAGTTGGGCAGCTTTTCATAGAAGGCACACAATGGCCAACAATCTCTTGGTACAAGGTCTTTTAAGACTAAACTATCCAATTAAGAACTAAACTGTCCAATTAAGAACTAAACTATTAAGAACCCCAAGGATGTGTAGATTGTGTCCAGTAATTAATGTTCGGACTCAGGTTTACTGTTATTATTATTATTTATTATTTATTATCAGTAAAAAAGTCTCACTACTATGAGTTGGGCAGCTTTTCATTAGAAGGCACAAAATGGCAAACAATCTCGTGTTCCAAGGTCTTTTAAGGCTAAACTATCCAATTAAGAACCCAACTATCCAATTAAGAACCCCAAGGATGCGTAGGTTGGGGGCGGCGCTGGGGGCTCGGCAGGTTGGGCAGGGTGATGTTCTTCCACTGTGGGGGTTCCAGTTGTGGGTTTTTCTGGGTCTGGATTGAAGACTTGTGACAGTATTTCATGTTGGGACTCAGGTGTTTATTGTTTCTTATCAGTAAAACAGTCCCACTACTGTGGATTCAGCAGCTTTTCATTAGAAGGCACAAAATGGCCAACAATCTCTTGTTACAAGGTCTTTTAAGGCTAAACTGCCCAATTAAGAACTGACACCTAGATTATTTTCCCTTTTCCAATTAAGAACTGACACTTAGATTATTTTCCCATTTAACCCACACCTCCTCTGGCCACTGCTTTGAAACTGCCCTTTTTTGTGAAACATCTCCTCTGCCCATCCCCAGGGTGGTGGAGACCCCATTTCCAGCCTCGCTGTCGGTGAGGAGAGCCAGCTTCTACCTGGGCAACAGGAGGAGGAGGAAAGGCGTGTTCACGGTAGGTGCCCCTGCTCTGGGCTGTCCCGGGTGCCCAGGGGGGCTCAGGGCTGCTCCTGGCTGGCTCTGGGGTGACCCACAGTCAGTCCCCTATGCTGGCAGGGCTTGGGCCATGGCACAGGAGGCAGAGTCCCTCCTGTGGGTCCCTGCCATGTGGAGGCACTGCAAGGCAGCTGCTCCAAGCCCCGTGCCAGTGCTCCCCTTACTCCAGCTGTTAGATTGCCCCAGCTGTGCATCTGGGATCTGACAGATGTGCACAAATCCCATGGGCACTTCTGCATGCCAGGAGGGAGGGCAACAAGCAGAAGTCAGGCAGGAAATCCAAGGCATGAATTACCTGCAGCTCCCAGTCTGTGATCTGTGGGACTTGGTCTCCATCCCTGTGCTCCCGCTTTTCCCAGGGCTTGCTGAGACAGCTTGTGCTGCTGCCAGGAGCTGATGCCACCCCCCGGATGTGCCACGGCTTGAACTTCAAAGTGGCAACGCTCTCTGTGCCCAGTGTCCTCCAGGATGTCCCTGCAAAGGCAGTGAGCAACGAGGTGCTCAAATACCCCTACGGTCAGTGCCCCAAGGCGGGCTCTCAGCAGAGAGAGGAAGGGGCTGGGAATGAAGCAGGAGCAGAGGGGAGGAGGGCATTCCTGTCCCCAGCACTCTCAGTGTGTGTGTGTGTGTGTGTGTGTGTGTGTTGGGATCCCTGTCCAAAATCTTCCTGAACAGACAGGGTGGCCCTGTCTGGCTCCCTGGGCTCATGTCAGTGGCCCCACACAGATTGCCCCAGTCTGTGGCTTCCCAGATCTGTGCTGGGATTCCATTTTCCCCACTGCCTGCTGCCCATTATTGGGATGAGACCAGGATGTTTGCCCCTCCTGCCTCTGTGTGCACTGAGAAGCACCTGCCTGGCTCCTCTCCTGTAGGGGGATAGAACATAAATAAATAAAGGTAGTATAGAAAGTAATCTTACCCCCTAAAGAGTTGTAGCTGGGTTAATTATTAAGGATTAGGAGCAGGCCTGATGTTAACAGGCCACAGCTGTAGCCAATAAGAAGAGTGTTATAAAAGAGTGGATTGGTTGGTTGAGGGGACTGGAGTCAGTTGGCTGCTGTGAGGACAAGGAAGAGTCAGTGCCCAGAGGAGCTGCCTACAAGAAACATCAAGGGGGTACAAAACTCTGGCAATATGGAACCATTGCAATGTAATGATGATAGAACTCTTGCAATATAATGACAACGCTCTCTGTGCCCAGAGACTGACATGAAGGTGACCCTGGGGGCCCGGCCCCGCTGCTCCAAGCAGGAGAAGGCTCAGTTCTGGTTCAACGCCTCCCGGAGAGGGCTCTACCTGTGCAACGGCAGCACCTGGCTCTCCATGCTGGAAGGTACCCGGGGAGGCTCTGGGGAGGGAAGGAGAGCCTTGCAGCCCAGCAGGAACTGAGCTTTGCTGTTGTAAAGGTGACTCACATAGTCAGAGGTGACTGACAAAGGGGAGAGAGAATCATACATCTGACTCTGTCATCAGAAGACTAATTAATTATTTTATTACACTATACTATGTACATTTCATCTAAACTGAATCTGCCATGCACTCTCTCTTGCTCACAATTGCTCACACTGCACTCATTTCTGATTGTCCCATGTCTGTCCTGTGACAGTCCAACACACACACTCTTGGCCCTGATAGACCAAGGGAACAAAACATCTTCACTTTGGGTGAACAATTTCCATATTGCATTCTACTTTGTTGCATTCACAACACAGGCACAGCAAGTGAGATAAGAATTGTGTTTTCCTTCTTCTCTGCCTGTCTCACAGCTTATCTCTGTTCAGAGGACATGTGAAAACCACAGTTTGCCCCCCAGACCCCTTTGGCATGGGGATCAGCAGCAGTGAGGGGCTGGGGGGTGCCCCTGTCTCTGCTCTGCTTTGCTCTCAGTGCCCATGATGCTTCCAGAGCACCTCTGGATTCAAGTGCCTCTGTGCTTCTCCAGGTTATCTGTCCCTCCTGGGAGTTTTCTGGGCTGGATGAGCTCCTGACCTGTCTGGGCAGGACAGCTCACCCCGCAGAGAGCCATGCTCAGGGTGTTGGGGTGCTGCCCCAGTGCAGAAGCATTTGTGGGGTGGAAAAGGGGAAACAGAGACCCAAAAGCTGACAGAAATACTGGGGGTGACTGTGAGGGTGGCAGACACAGGTCTCCATGTCATCTGGGCCCTGGTGGGGCACTTTGTAAGGAAATCAGTGGGAGGACCAAGGTGGGAAAGGCAACCAGAGCCTGGGATGGATGAGTGTTCTTCAATAATGACGTGGATTTCATCCACTGGCACTCTCACTCACTCCAGGCTGGCTTCCCAGGATCCCTGGAGAGCACATGGAGGATGGGATAAGTCCCTAACTGAGCTGTCCGTCCTTTCCCTCCTCTCCCAGCATTTTTCTGGGTTTAGATGAGCCATTTGTCCCCCACAGCAATGACTGGACCCTCTCTCCTTCCCTAGCTCTGGAAGCCATCAGGATTGGCATGATGTCCTTGTTTCCAAGGAGAGCTCATGCTGGGGTCTTACTGACCTGTGCCCCTTGGTGCCACCAAACACTGCCCTTTTTGCCATTTGTCCCTTCCAGTGCCCATCTGCCTGCTATCAGGGCCACTCTGGAGGTTTCTGCTCCAATTTCTGGCATTAATTCTGTCTCAGCCTTCCCTAACCTCTCCTGCTGTCATCTCCTCCTTGCTCTCTTGAGGATGAATGTACCAAAGTGATCAAAATCCGTGCCATGGGGTCCTTCCCTGCTCCCAGGGACACACAGCTCTGCTCTCTGCTGGAGAACAGGGCAGGATGGGGCTGGATGTGCTGCAGTCAGCCTCTTCCCACCCCTTGGTCTGGCCCTTCACCCCAGTGCCACCAGGACCTTCACGTGTCCCACAGAGCCCTGCACAGCAGCAGGTTCCACTGAGGCAGGGTCACCACATTTCTCTTCACAGAGAAAAAACAAGGCACAATTCTGGCCAAGAATATTTCTGGGTTTCATACCCTCTGAACCTCAGAGAAAAAAAAAAAAAGCCAACCAATTCTTATCTCATTTACTGTTCCTGTGTTGTTCACAAGTGGAATGCATTGTGAAAGATTGTTTACCTGAAGGGAATTGGTGATTAATTGGATTCTGGTGTGAGTGTTTTGATTCATTGACCATTTGAATTCAGATGTGTGTGTGTTGGGACTGTGGGCTGACAGTCACCAAATTCTCTGTGGTGGTGTCACAGGGGGTCCCAGGACAAGGGAAGAGATGAGAATCTTGATTCCATGTTTCAGAAGGATGATTTATTATTTTATTATATATATTATATTAAAACCATACTAAAGGAGTAGAAGAAAGGATTTCATCAGAAGCCTTGACAGGAGAAGGAAATGGAATGATAATAAAATCTTGTGACTGACCAGAGCATCTGAGACAGCTGGGCTGTGATTGGCCATTAATTAAAAACAGCCACATAGACCAATCAAAGATGCACCTGTTGCATTTCACAGCAGCAGGTAATTATTGATTTTTCTTTTCCTCTGAAGCCTCTCAGCTTCTCAGGAGAAAAAATCCTGGCAAAGGGATTTTTCAGAAAATATCATGGCTGCAATTCTGGGCAGTTGAGTGCTTGGCAGATTCAATTTAGATGTAATGTAATATAGCATAGAATAATACAGTATAATAAAGTAATTAATTAGCCTTCTGGTGTCAATGGAGTCCTCCTCACCATTCCTCTTGTTTGTTGGGGGCAAAAATATCCACGATAAGCTCCTCTCCAGCTAAAAATCACCTGTTTAACCTCATCCCTCTTTTTTTCTGGGCTGCCAGTCCAACCCAGGCTGGACTACGTGGAGGAGCACCAGAAGCTGGTGACCAACTCGGAGACCATGGGTGTTGAGGTGTTCTCCATCCCCAGGCTGGGGCTGTTTGCAGCCACGGCCAACAGGCTCACACCCCCAGGATCAGCCATCTACAGGTGGACTGACGGCAAGTTTGTGCACTACCAGAACATCCCCACACACCAGGCACAGTCCTGGAAGTATTTCACCATTGGGAAGAAGGTGAGCCTGCCAGCTAGGTGCTCCCATGTTGCAGTATAAAAACTGAAGGTATAAAGCATAAACTGCAGGTGCCCAACACTGGGTTCTCTGAAGCCTGGAGTCTTGGGCATGGTTTAGAGAATATAGGTTTAGAAAATATAGGTAGCTGCATCTCAGAGATCTGCCTATGGTCTTGAAGTACCATCAGGGCCTGCACTTCCCTCTTGAGGCCCGCTGAGTCCAACCTGCTGCATTTTAAAATTCTCTTGCTTTTAAATCATTCCAGGAATTCAGAGCTACCTCTTCTCCCATGGGCAATCTGCCCTGGGACTTGAGCAGAGGATTTGCCTGGTTTCTCTCCCTGGGAAGCTGCTTAACACCTTGGGGGAGCCCAGGAAAGACATCTGCTGAGAGCCAGCTCTGTGCAGGGCCCCCAGAGAAGCTGGGATTGTTCCCCCTCTGTTGTGACCCATTCTGGCTTTGTCCTAGAGTTTTCTCTTCCCACTGAAACTGTTTCTGGAGATGCCCCAAATGGTCTCCCTGGACTGGTGCTTGCAGAGAGAGCAGAGCTGGGGATTCACCTTTTGTGGGAGGACAGCCCAGCACAGCCCTGTCCTTGGGGGTGGCTGAACAAAGCCCTAGTCCTGTACAGGGCTGACCTCACTGACTCTTTCCTCTCTGTGGGCTGTGTCCCTGTGCCTCTTTGTGGCCCAAACTGGGGCATAATCTCTGCATAATGTCCTTCCATCTGAAGGACACTGGGGTGGCACAGCGTGACAGAGCTCGGATGTGCTGCTCCCTGCCTTGCACTTGGCCACCTCTGCTGCACCACTCTTGTCTCTTACACTTCCACAGGGGTTTCTTGGTCTGGGAAATGTTTTGTCTCAGGGAATTGTTAGCATTATTGTAATTGTTCTGCCTTTTTTTGTTCTGAACCACCTTTGCTTACAGGGGGGTTCGTCAGCTGAACCTCCCTCCTTACCCAGTGCGTTTCACATCCAAGCTCCCCATTCCTGGGGCTGGAGAGTGAATGCAGACAGCTCAGCTCTCCCTCCCCTTGACTAAGAACTGCTGGCTGCCAGTTGTGCCCCTGCCATGCACAAAGACCCCCACAGGCCATTGTGTCCCTGTCCCCACTTTGTGTGGCCTGGGAACAGCTCAGGGACCATCTCATCCCACACCAACCACCTCCATCCCACCTCCCCCTGCGTTTTCTTGCTTTGAGAGGAGAAGAAACCCAAGCCATGCTGGCTTTTCCTTTTCCAGATCTTCCTGGCAGTGGCGAATTTTGAGCAGAACGAGAGGGGCCAGGAGTTCTCAGTGATTTTCAAGTGGAGCCGCAGGAAGGCGAAGTTCCTGGCGTACCAGAGGATCAGCACGCACAGCGCCCGCGACTGGGAGGCCTTTGTCATCCAGGGAGAGGCTTTCCTGGCTGTGGTCAACCACAGGGAAGGTAGCCAGCCCTCAGGGCTCCCTGCAGGGGGGTATCTGCTGTAAGAGCTGAAATGAGGGATGTGGGACTCCAGGCAGCTCTCCAAAATGCAGTTTATTGCATACAAAATGCAGTTTATTGCATACAAAATGCAGTTTATTCCATCCAAGAGGTTATAGTAGTCCAGGGTCATGGGTGACAGAGCCTGTGCCCACAGCTGTCAGCTCCAGCTGCAGGCAGGCCTGGAGACCCTTAGTTTAGGTTACAAATGCATTATATACTTCTCTTTTGGTTACACTGCATTAGAGACTCTTCTTTGCTGAGCATCTTAATACAGTAGAACCAATCTATGCCTTAACTTTTATCTATAGCCTATCATAGCTACTATAATTACCATATTCATGTTACTATTCTCCAATCACTAAAAGTTAGTACATTACAGTTTAAGCCAGAAGTTGCTTTTCAGTTTTCTTGCAGTGGAAAATTCTGAGACCTTTTTTCTACTTGCAACATTTGCTGACTTGTTTGCCTGTGCTCTCTTTCTGCTTGGTAAAAACATCATCTTGTTTGGGGTGGGTTCATCCTTTGCTCTAAGCCATAAAAACCCCTCTAACTAACACACCCTTTGCCTCCTTGTTCATCCAGTAAGACTGGCTCAGCAATTCTTTTCTTCTACATCAAAACTTGCTTTCATTTCTATTCCTTCTTCAGATTCTACATTCAGAAATCTTTCTGCCGAGCATGCGTATCTGTGAGACTTTCTTGTCAAACTTTCATCCTTGCCAGCAGTCTGGGAGCCTGGCAGTGCCCTGCTCAGAGCAGGCTCCCCGTGCATGCCCAGGAGTGCAGGGGAGCTGAGCACTCAGCCTGGGATCCCCCGGGACCCCCAAGGCCTTGGGAGGAGAGAAAAGCCCTTGAGCAAGTGGCTGACACTGTCACCCTCTGGGTTCTGGCTGCAGGGGACAAGGACAAGTGGGGATGGGGTCTGTGCTGAATCTTTCTGCTTATTTTCAATTTTATCCTCAGTACTGTGTAACCTGCCAGTGCCGCAGGTGAAGCCAGATCCTCAGCCTTGGAGGAGCTGGATGGAGCTTTAGGGCAGGGGGGAGCCCCCAATGTCAGAATGTTAGGGATGTAGGCACACAGTTTGTGGTGGCTGGGAGTGGGGCTGAGCCCCAATGGGCACAGCTGTGAGCAGCAGGTGAGCAGCACTGACAGCAATGAGCCACGGAGTGCCCAGGGGCACTGACCAACCACCAAAGGGAACAGAGGGCACACAGGGGCAGGGCATCAACAGGAGGGGATAAAAGGCTGGGCTGAAGAACCAGAAGGGCAGAGCTTGCAGCCTTCTGATGGGGTAAGGTGCTGTTCTGTATGTGCTGAAGCTTTCTGAAATTGTGTGGTGACATTCTGTGTATTGTGGCTGTCTCAACTGTGACAAGTGCTGTGGCATAGGGACACATCCCTGTGGGACAGCCAGCAGAGCTTGTCCACCCTGGGCTGCTGGCAGGGAGCCTCTGGAGTGCTGCTTGTGTGGGGACAAAGCCCCTGCCTGTCCCTCCTCTGCCAGGGCTGCCACAAAGCTGCCACTGTGCACTTGGGCCAAGCTGTTGGTGTGTTCCATGGGATGGAGACACTAGATAGGGATGGAGGGGTCTTTAGGTAGGGATGGAGGCTGTAGAATCTCTTTGGCTACTTCTTGGAGAGCAGCAGGTCACTTGCAAACAGCCTCAAGACCTGCTGGCAAATATTCATGGAGCTGAGCTTGTTTTGGGTCTTGTTTCCTCCACAAAGCAGGAATTGCTTTCCCTCATTGCACCCATCTGTCTCCCCCAGGGAACAACCACAACATAGACAGTGTGATATACAGGTGGAACCCCAGGACAGGGCTGTTTGAAACCAACCAGACCATTCCTACCTCTGGAGCCTACGACTGGGAGTTCTTCACCATTGGGCCATATTCCTTCCTGGCTGTGGCCAACACATTCAATGGCACCTCCACCAGGATCTACTCCCACATCTACATCTGGCTCAGGGGCTCCTTCCAGCTCTTCCAGTCCATCCTGGTAAGGCTTGGCCCCTGCTCCTCTGTGTTTGGACAGGGCAGCCACATCCAGCTCCTCACGGCCTCCTTCCCCACAGACGTTTGGTGCAGCTGACTGGGAGGTTTTCCACATTGGGGACAGAGTGTTCCTGGCTGTGGCCAACAGCCACAGCTATGACAGTGGGATGCCAGCACCCTCCAACTTCTATGCCATCAACTCCTCCATCTATGAGCTGAACGTCACGGCCCAGATGTTTGTTAAATTCCAGGACCTTCTCACCTACAGGTACCTGGGCAAGGGTTCAGGGTGCTCCTTGGTCCTTCCCCTGAGCAACCCAAAGGTCTCACAGAATCCCAGAATGGTTTGGGTGGGGAGGAACCTTAAAGCTCATCTCATTCCACCCCCTGCCATGGGCAGGGACACCTTCCACCATCCCAGGCTGCTCCAAGCCCTGTCCAGCCTGGCCTTGGATACTGCCAGGGATCCACGGGCAGCCACAGCTTCTCTGCACCCTGTGCCAGGGCTTCTTCTCTTTCAGTTTAAAACTGCACTTGCCTATCTCCTGGAGGGTTTCTGCAGGCTTCACACTCCCAGGGCCTGGCACTGGTGGGGAGGGTGATGTGTGATGGCTCCTTGGCACCAAATCCCAGTGGGGACTGGGAGAAGGGCCTAGCTTTGGGAATGAGGATGGATTTATTTCAGGAACAGCCTGTGAGGAAGAGCAGGGCTTTTTATGTGTCAGAGACTGGGATGGGGTGGCCACATGGAGGTCATCTCACCTGTCCCTCTGCTCACTCCCTCCCCAGTGCCCTGGACTGGGAGTTCTTCTCAGTGGGAGACGACTCTTTCCTGGTGGTGGCCAACTCCTTCGATGGCTTCACCTTCTCAGTCAACAGCATCATCTACAGGTACTGCACAGGGTGGGCTGGGGGCTGCTCCCAGCAGGAACAACCCCGGGCACACCCTGCTGCACCTCCCCAGGGTGGGTGTGCAGGGTTATTCCCTGTTTCCAGGCAGGGATGGGACATCCCACCCTGGAACACAGCAGGGACATGGCATCCCCATGGCACCCTGCCCTCCCTATGCAGGTGGCAGGGCTACGAAGGCTTTGTGGCAGCGCACCAGCTGCCCACGGTGGGCTGCAGGGACTGGGAGGCGTTCCACACCGCCGAGGGCTCCTTCCTGCTCTACTCCAGCGCCAGGGAGCCGCTCTCCAAGGTGCTCAGGCTGAAAACCACCTGAGGCAGCCGAGACACGCCCAGCCCGTCGGGGGAGAGGGACGCAGAGCCGGGAATGGCTGCAGCATCAGAGCATCAGCCGGGAAGGGGCTGCTGCAGGAAGGGAGGAAGAGGAAGAGGAGGGGAGAGCTCCAGGCTCTCTGCAGCCTTGTCCAGGGGCTGTTTCTCCTGGGAAAGCTCTGCCACCGCCATGTCCTAGCCAAGGTTGTGGAGCCTGGGTGCATCCCTGGCTTAGTAGGACCGTGGTTCCAGGCAATTTCCAGTGCCCAGGAAGGACCCAGAGCCTGCACAAAGGCAGAGCAGGGCAGGAGCTGCTGGGATGCGTGTATGACACAGGGGAGTAAACACGTGAGAAATTGTGGGGAAAAGCGTGTCCAGGCTTGGCTCTGCCTGCCTGGGCTGTGATGTTCCTGAGGACAGCTGGTGTGGCATTGCAGCCATTCTTCACGTCACCTTCGTGCCACTGCCGCAGTGCTGCCCGTCTCCCTCTCTGGGTTGGTTCTCCTTCAACAAGTTCAGAGCTGTTGGTGTGCTCCAGGGCCAGCACTGCTCCATGCCTGGGGTTAGGGACCCCTGAGCGAACCTGCTTTGCATTTGGACCCACCCAGCTGCCACGGGAGTGGGGAAAACCCAAACCTGCTTCAGGTGCAACTGTGGCCTCTTTTCTTTTCCTCACCTTTGCTGGGGAAGACTCTTTTGCTTAACCAGAGCTCTAATAAAGTGTGTGCACCCAGCCTTTCTCCCACATGCTGCTCTGCATCCCTTCACCCAACAAATCACCCCTGAATGTCCATGGCTATGCCCAGTGAGGATGGGGTGGCCCTGAGCTCAGGAGTGTGCTGGGTTGGGGGTGCCCCTCTGTTCCACCCACTGGGTGTCCCAGAGCCCCTCTCAGCCTTCCCAGAGCCAGGGTTCCTGATCAGCTGGGACACCCACCCCAGCACTGGGAGCACTCAGGAGGTGCCAGCCCCATCAAGAAGGGCTGGGGGGAGTCACAGCCTGAACTTTTGCAGGGTCCAGACCTGCAGGGTGAGCGTCTGCATCCCTCCCTCCTCCTCGCCCTGTTCAGTGCAACTCTTCCAGGAAGGGCCATTTCTCCCCTGTGAGAAAAGGGACAATTTGATTTCCTTCCATCACTGAGCTCTGAGCAACAACTCTAATTCAGCCCGAGAAGGGTAAGATAAGGCAAGATCACATGTATTTGGGCAGCTGGTCCTTGCTTGGGACTCAGCTGAGGGTGGGAGGGGAGGGCGCCTAATGGGAGTTGTGCTGGTACATTGAATTTAGGCAGATTGGATTAGGATAAGCCCCCCCCAAGCACCATGAGCACCACCACCCTCCCTGGACACTCATCTCCCAGCACAGCACAAACCCTGAGGGCTTTTCCTTTATTGAGGAAGCAGAGGCTTTGGAGTTGCCTGGTGCTGAGGGCCCTGGGGAGGCTGCGCTGCCCTTGGCAAGGCTGGTGCCTCGCTGGAGCCAGCATGGGGTGACCCCTCTGCCCCCCTGCAGGGACCTCCTGGCCCCACAACCCATCTCTCCCAACCACAAGGGTGTGCTGGGGCTGCATTCCCTGCCAGCCCAGCTCTGGTAGGGAAAAAGGCTCTGCCTGGGGCTGTTTGTCACCAGGGCCAGGCCCATGTGGGGTGTCCCGTGTCATCTGCTCTGTCCAGCCTTGTTGGGGAGGGGGATTGGTGGCACTGGTCTGGAGAAAGCACTGGAGAATCCCACCAGGAAGATCTGATGCCCACCAGGTGGTCATGAGCTCTCTGTGAGGATGCTGGAGACTGGCACCCAGCCCTGCCCTTTTGGGTGGTGCTGGTGCTCTCTGCCATGGGCTGCCTGTGAAGAAACTGGTGCTGGTGTGTCAGAACCCAGGAAATTCCTCTGGCTGCCCTGGAGGGCTCGAGCCCCTGCCCAGGGGGCTCAGAGACCCTGGCACAGAGCCCAAGACCCCTGTGCCTTTGATTCAGCCCTTGGAAAAAACAATTACCAACCTTATTTGAAGAATTACAAGCCACGAAAGTTTAAGTAGAATGATAGTGAATTTATCACAGGGTGAAAATGTTTTGGGGGGTTTTTGGAATGGGGGTTCAAGGAGCAAAATGGAGGAATCTGGGCGTGTCCAGCCTTTCTTCTTCTTCTTCTTGGCATCCATCTTCTGCTGTGATGGCGTGGGAGCCCAGCACATCCCTCTGGCTGTCCAGGATGGCCAGGACCCTGCCAGGGGGCTCAGAGACCCTGGCACAGAGCCCAAAACACCTGTGGGTTTGATTATGACCCGTGGAGCAAATTACCAGCTTTGTATGAAGATCAGCAAGCCACAACAGTTTAGGTAGAATAATAGTGAGGTTATCATGGGGTGGAAAAGCAGATTTTGGGGTTTCTATAATGGGGGTTCAGGAGGCAAGATGGAGGGAACTGGGTGTGTCCAGCCTTTCTCCTTCTTCTTCTTCTTCTTGGCCTCCATCTTCTGCTGTGATGGTGGCACTTTTGGATTGGTTTAGAGTAGAAGCTCACTGTCTAACATAGGTGATAGGTATTGGGAAGTAATTGTAAATATTGTACATGTAGTTTTTAGTATAAAAAGATAACACCGAGGTGGGCAGAGTGCCTCTGACTGTCCTGCTGAGCAGACCTCGGCTGGACAGGAGAAAAAATTTTATAGATAAGAAACAATAAACAACCTTGAGAGCGAGAAATGAAGCACTCTGACTCCTTTGAGTGCCGAGCTGGGAAAAGAGACTTTCTTGTCACAGACATCTTTTATGAAAAATCCTTTCCTTAGGGTTTTTCCTCCTGAGAAGCTGGGAGGCCTCAGGAACAAAATGTAAACAATGGTTATCTGCTGCTGTGGGACGCAACAGGTGCATCTGGGATTGGTCTCATGTGTTTGTTTCTAATTAATGGCCAATCACAGCCCAGCTGGCTCAGATGGAAAGTCTGAGACAGAGTCTTTGTTATCATTCTTTTCTATTATATTCTTAGCTTAGCCAGCCTTCTGATGAAATCCTTTCTTCTATTCTTTTAGTATAGTTTTAATATAATACATATCATAAAATAATAAATCAAGCCTTCTGAAACATGGAGTCAGATCCTCGTCTCTTCCCTCATCCTCAGACCCCTGTGAACACCGTCACACTTTCCTGGTGTATTTTGGGGTCACTCTGACCAGCTAGAGACCCCGAGACTGGTGCTCTCTGCTATGGGCTCTCTGTGAAGATGCTGGAGGCTGGCACCCAGCCCTCACTACAGGACAGTGTGGGTGCTTTCTGCCATGCGGTCCCTGTGGATAAGCCTGGAGCTGGCACCCAGCTCTGCCCTTTGGGGTGCTGCTGGTGGTCTCTGCATGGTCTCCCTGTGGATAAGCCTGAAGCTGGCACCCAGCCCTGACTTAGAGGGTGGTGCTGGTGGTCTCTGGATGGGCTCCATGTGAAGATGCTGGAAGCTGGCACCCATCCCTCACTACAGGGTGGTGCTGGCGCTCTCTGCCCAGCCCCGTGTGCCCGGCAGTGCTCGCGGGTGCTCGCGGTGCCCGCGGGAGCGCTCCCGGTTGTGCCGCACGTAGCAGATGAGATAGGCGGCGAGCATGGCGAACCAGGCGAACATGGCGAGCAGCGTGGCCACGTCCGTGCTCCTCCGTGGCACGCTGCAGAGGTTGGCGCCGCTGCCCAGCGCCTGCAGCAGCGGCTTGCCCACGAGCTCGTGTCGCGGGGCCGTGTGGCAGGTGATGTCCCGCACGGAGTCGGGGTGCAGCCGCGCCGCCCCCAGCAGCTCCTGCAGGGCGCACCCACAGTGCCAGGGGTTGTTGGCCAGCCGCAGCTCGGCCCTGAGAGCCAGCAGTGCCTCCTTGGGAATGCTGCGGATGCGGTTCCCGGAGAGATCGACGCTCCTCAGCCTGGCTGCCACCCCTCTGAAGGCCGCCCTGTCGATGTGCTCGATGGCGTTGCGGGACAGGTCAATCTCCTGCAGGCGGGACAGGTGCCTGAAGGCGTTGCTGGGGATGCTGGTGATGCTGTTGGCGTCCAGCTTGAGGAGCACTGTGTCCCTGGGGATGTCCTTGGGGATCTCCTGCAGGTGCTGGGAGCTGCAGAGGACAGCCTTGGCCCCGGCCCGCTCCGTGCATTGGCAGCTGGGCGGGCAGGAGCTGCCCCAGGGGATGCAGAGCAGGAGGCAGAAGAAGGCCTGGGCCACACTGGTGGTCGTGGGGGTGAGGGTCATCCTGCAGGCAAGCAGCTGGGCACGGCCCCTGGCAGCTCCCCGGGTGTGGCAGCAGCTCCTGGGCACCAGGAGAGTCCCTGGGCATCCCTGCAAGGCCTCTGCCATGGCTGGGGGGAAGCTGTGGGTGGAGGGGATGGGGTGTCACAGACATCTTTTATGAAAAATCCTTTCCTTAGGGTTTTTTTCTCCTGAGAAGCTGAGAGACCTCAGGAACAAAATGTAAACAATGATATCTGCTGCTGTGGAATGCAACAAGTAGATCTTTGATTAGCCCATGTTGGTTGTTTCTAATTAATGGCCAATCACAGTCAGCTGTCTCGGACAGAGAGCCTGAGCCACAAGTTTTGTTATCATTCCTTCTTTTTCTATTTTTAGCTGGCCTTGTGATAAAATCCTTTCTTCTATTCTTTTAGTATAGTTTAAATGTAATATATATCATAAAATAATAAATCAAGCCTTCTGAAACATGGAGTCACCATTCTGGTCTCTTCCCTCATCCTGGGAGCCCTATGAACACCACCACAATGTGACACAGCATTATCACCTGGAATACTGAGCATGGATCCTGTGTGATGTGCCTGGCAAAGGGGTGAGAGGAGAGACTGGCTCATGAGACTGGAGAACGAGGGTGGAGTGACACTGGCTGTCTTTCCCAGGACAGCTTAATTGGGATTAATTAGAAATAGAAACCCCAGCTGCCCTACCCCTGTCTCTGCAGAGAGCACCCCAGTGGACAAATTGAGCTGCAGGATGGGGAGTGGAGATGGGCTGGAGCCTCTGCCC